GCACCTAACAACAACAGATATATATGTTGTTGTTGTTAAGTGGTATCTAGGTTGTTCCAATGCATTAGCGACCCTGTATAGGATGTCCGAGGAGTGACTGGTGAATTTGAACCGCTGACCTTGCAGTTCAGACCAACCATGCAATCCAGTGCATTATCCTGCTTACCTCATTAGGACTCCACAGATTTATATACTGCGTTTAAAGGAATAATCTGATATTTTAGCGTTGGAAAGAAAACTAAAAAAATTAATTCTATAAAGAAATTGTGAACCTTGTTCAAGTGGCTCATTTTTTATGAGTTTGTTGGTAGGAAATGTTTCTTTTGTGACTCTCTAATGATGGGCATTAGAGAGCAACAGGAAAGTGTCCCCTCCTCACCTGACAGGAAGCTGTAATTGACCGAGTGCAGAATCCCAAAGATTCTGGCATCTTAGAAGCTTTCAGTTTGAATACTTCACAGAATTTCTGTTGAGACTTTGAGATGTTTCATAACTAAAAACAATTTTAAAATGTCATAAATGGACATTTTGAGCACCCTATCTGGTCTAACGGGAAATTAGGGTGTTGGGAGAAGAAGAGTATCTCTGGCGCCCCCTGCTGTCACCAAGAGTGACTATTTGGAAATGTGCATTGCTTTGCAGGGGAGCAAGTTCGACCTAGAAGTTCCAAATGCCTTGGCACAGGACATTTAAAACAAAGTCATTATCCGGATCAGACCTTTCTGGAGATCCATGTTTACCTGTGTGTGTAAAGTTTATTGATATATTGATATTTTAGTTTTGCACAAGTTTTCTATGTTGTTGTTGTTCAGTGCTGTGGAGTCAGTTCCCATCCATAGTGACCCTGTGTAGGGTTTCTGAGGAGCGGCTGGTAAGCTTGAACCACCGACCTTGCAGTTCAAACCAACTTTGCAGTCTAGCACATTAACCCACAGCATCACACCAGGACTCCATAGGAAGCCCTTAATGTTAATTTGGTATAGGATGTGAAGAATACCAGAATGGGAGAAAAATAAACTCCTTTGTTTTAACATGTTTGACTGCTACCTGAAAGATCAAAGGTTTGAGTCCACCAAGACACACCTTGGAAGACAGTGCTAGCTATCTGTTTTGAAAATTCAACCACTGGAAACCCTATGGATGACAGTTCTACTCTAACACACAAGGGGTTGTTATGAATTGATGGTAGCTAGTTTGGTTTTTGGTTTGTTTTTCAGATTTGAACCATCAGTGCAGATTTGTGTGTGTGGGGGAATGTGGCCAAGAGGAGGGCTGAGGGGATCCTGGGTGGATAAGACTGAATGATCTTTCTTGTCTGGCAATCTTGCCTATTCATGCTCACATATAGCTAATTACTCTTCAATGTTCTTTCCCTTCTTAGGCTTTGAGGGGTGAATTTCTTTTACAACTTATAATAATTGATGATTTGATATTTCTCATCTGAACTAGTTGCTGAGAAAGAGCTAGAAAACCTGAAGCTATTGAAGGAGCAGCATAGAGCTAAACCAATTAACCTGGTGCCAAGACAACTAGGTAAGCAAGCAAACCAGATCTCTGAATGGGAGGGCAGGGCTATCACTGGATCCTGTCAGCACTTTGTATCTGTCTTGTTATTCAATGTACATTAGAGGTTGTTGGCTCGCTGTGCTGCTTGGGATGTTGTTGTTGTTAAGTGCCGTCGAGTCAGTTCCGACCCATAGCGACCCTGTACAGGGTTTCCGAGGGTGTAAATCTTTACGGGAGTAGAAAG